AGAAGGGACGTCCGGAGAGGGCGCGAGTCTTCTCCTTCCCACAGCCGGGCCAGAGCGAACTCGTGGAGTGACCACCGCGGTTTTTTTCGGATAGAGAGGGCTTTCGCGGCGGCGCCCAGAAAAGAGGGGCGGTCGCCAGAGGAAGCGACGGTGTCCGCAAAGACGGCCGTCGGTGTCCGATGACGGGGGCCGGGCAAAGCGCTCCTCCTCCGCTTCCGGCGGCGGATCTGGCGTCTCATCCTCCGCCTCTGCCTCTGCCGGTGGCGGTGGCAAGGCGCCGCGCCGCCTCGGGGCGGGCGAGGGCTCACGGTGCGCCGGCACAAGCAGCGGCAAGAGCGGCGGCAAGAACAGCAGCAAGAGCGGCGGCGCTGCGGTGCGGACGTACCTCGAGGTGCCGATCACACACACACACACACACACACACACACACACACACACACACACACACACACACACACACACACACACACACACACACACACACACACACACACACACACACCGCTCACCCACGCGCACCGGGCCTTGCACTTTGCATGCCGTGGGGCTCCTGTCGTTAGACGTGGAGACGCGAGGGACCAGCCCGGCCCTTGCCCCACCACCTTGTGCGTGTGTGTGGAGAAGTGTCCCTTACCTTACCCTTAGGTTCCGATCGAGGAGAACCCGGTCCTCAAGGCGGTGGGAGGCGCGCGCTGGGACAAGGAGCGCAGGGCGTGGTACGTGCCCGCGCGCACGCCGCTGCTCCCCTTTGTCAAGTGGATCACCGCCGCCGGCGCGGGCGCGGGCGGCGGCGGCGGTGGCAGGGGCGGCGGCGGCGGTGGCAGGGGCGGCGGCGGGGGTGGCAGGGGAGACGGCGGCGGTGACGGCGGGGTTGGCGGCGGAGATGGCGATGGCGGCGGCGGCGGCGGCGGAGGCGGCGGCGGAGGCGGCGGCGGCGGCGGCGGAGGCGGCGGCGGCGGCGGCGGTAGCGACGCGGAGCCATCACAGCGTCGCAGCCTCCTCCCTGCCTCGTCTTCCGCTGCGGCGCGTGCAGAGTACGCTGAGGCGCCTGCTGTGGACGGCGTCTCTTCACAGCGGCGGGGTGTGAGCAGGCGGGCGCAGAGTACGTCTCCCTCGTTGACGGCGGGCGCGGCGGCGGGCGGAAGAGGGGCGGCGACGGCGGCAACTACGTGCGCGTCTCGATGAGCGGTGCGGCAGGGCCCGCCCCATGCCTCACACGCACGAACACAGCACAACCCCGGGCACAAACACACACACACACACACACACGCACGCACACACACACACACGCACGCACACACACACACACGCACACACACACACACACACGCACAGACACACACACACACACACACACACACACACACACACACACACACACACGCACGCACGCACGCACACACACACCACACACACACACACACACACACACC